TAGACAACTCTAATTGTTAATAATATATATTACTTATTATTTCCATAAAACAATAAATATATCCAATATATACAAATATATAGAGAGAGAAAGAGATGAAGAGAAAATAGAATATATATAATATATATAACTTATATTTATTGTTCTCATTATCATTATTAAACATCTTTATTAAATTTAATAAAAATGTTCACAGGTCGTTGCCAGGCGACATGATCTGAAGCTGATCGTGACTTCCGCGACGATGGACTCCAGCAAGTTTTCCGCTTTCTTTGGCAACGCGGCGACGTTCGAAATACCTGGACGAACATTTCCTGTGGAAGTGCTACACGCGAAGAACCCGGTTGACGATTACGTGGATGCCGCTGTGAAGCAAGTCTTGCAGATCCATCTGCAGCCCAAGAGCGGCGACGTATTAGTCTTCATGCCCGGTCAAGAGGACATCGAGGTTACCTGTGAGGCTCTGAAGGAACGTTTGGCCGAAATTGAATCGGCACCGCCTCTCTCAATATTGCCCATTTATTCGCAATTACCATCGGACCTGCAAGCAAAGATCTTTCAACGTTCTGAAGGAGGTCTCCGCAAATGCGTTGTGGCGACTAACATCGCGGAAACATCTCTAACGGTCGACGGGATCGTCTTCGTCGTCGATTCGGGATATTGTAAATTGAAGGTGTACAATCCACGGATAGGTATGGATGCTTTGCAAGTGTATCCTGTATCGAGAGCCAACGCCGATCAAAGATCAGGTAGAGCGGGTCGTACCGGCCCTGGTCAATGTTACCGATTGTACACACGAAGGCAATACTTGGACGAGCTATTGCTGACCGGAGTCCCCGAGATACAACGCACGAACTTAGCTAACACAGTGCTGCTGTTGAAGTCTTTAGGAGTTCAAGATCTATTAGCCTTCCACTTTATGGATCCACCACCGCAGGACAATATCTTGAATTCATTGTATCAGTTGTGGATCTTGGGCGCACTGGATCACACTGGACGCTTGACTCCTCTCGGACGACAGATGGCTGAATTTCCTCTGGATCCACCGCAATGCCAAATGCTTATAGTCGCCTCCCAGCTCGGCTGTACCGCAGATATCCTCATTATAGTTTCTATGCTCTCGGTACCGTCGATCTTCTATCGGCCGAAGGGACGCGAAGAGGACTCTGATTCGGCGCGAGAAAAATTCCAGGTGCCAGAGTCCGATCATCTAACGTACTTAAACGTGTACAACCAATGGAAAGCGAATGGATACTCGAGTTCCTGGTGCAACGATCACTTCATTCACGCGAAGGCAATGCGTAAAGTACGAGAAGTACGGTCGCAGCTCGAGGAGATCTTGAAGCAGCAGAAGATGGACGTGGTCAGTTGCGGCACCGACTGGGACGTCGTACGAAAATGTATTTGCTCGGCGTACTTCCACCAAGCAGCACGCCTCAAAGGTATCGGCGAGTATGTCAACTGCCGTACCGGGATGCCGTGCCACCTTCATCCCACTTCGGCACTCTTCGGCATGGGCTTCACGCCCGACTACGTCGTCTATCACGAGCTCGTGATGACAGCCAAGGAATACATGCAGTGCGTCACAGCGGTGGACGGCCATTGGCTGGCCGAGTTGGGCCCCATGTTCTTCAGCGTAAAGGAGACCGGTCGAAGTGGCCGTGCCAAGCGGCGACAAGCGATGCAGCACTTGCACGAGATGGAGCATCAGATGAAGGAAGCCGAAGAGGAAATGAAGGCACGCGCTCAGGAACAGCTCGAACGCGAACAGGCGTCGGTCCGGAAGAAGGAGATTCTAACGCCTGGCATCAGGGAGCCGGGCACACCCGCTCCTTATCGCAACACTCCCGGAAGATTGGGATTGTAATCGATTCTCTTATGTACATAACGTCCACAGACATGTTGTTGCACATGTTTGATCTGCCAGTTACAGTTTAATATACAGGGTGTTCAAAAAGTCCCGGACCGGTGAAATATCTCGAA